TATTTACTTTTGAGATGTCTCTGTATTGTTAATTGAACTTTCTGTAATTAAAAGTAATTTGAGAAACACAAAACTAAGTACAGGGGACGCTGTCTACAGTATGTGGTATTGTGATGTATACGCCCAACCTGAATATTTGATGATTAATTAACAATCAAGATCATGGACTCCGATATCGTTTCCGTGTTAGCTGTTTGCTCAGTTTGATTTATTAATTCCGCATTTGTTTTACTCTATTTATTGACACTAGAATTGGCAACCCTAAGATTTCACTAGAAAATTTTAGAAACATTCAAATACATATTAACTTTTACTTTGCATTGTTAATAGCTCTTTTGTGTTTGATGTTGCTGTCTCGATCCTAGGCAAGTAACAAGTTAAATAACTTTATAGCTTCTCCGAAAAAAAAGATGTTTAAAATGCGTTATTCCATATAGTTCTGTCAGTATTGCATGAATTAAATCTCTAATAGAGAAACGGAGCGGCGATATTAAGTAACCTTCATTCAACTAGCCACTCAAAACAATTCCATGAAAACTATTATATAAGAAATGCAAACTTTGTACGACGATTTTAACACGACCTAGTTCAATAGTTATGTCCCTTTCTTATATGTCTTATTAATGTCACGTTAGATAAAGAGCTCCATAACATCTGACCAAAGCAAGCCGCCTACGTAAATCAGAACTAAAAGTATGCCTGTAATGAATATAACTAATGTGATATACCGGTATAACTAGGAATTTGTGACCTAAAAACTAAGGTACCTTGCAAAAGTATTCACCCCAACAAATAACGTCACATTTTAATGAAATACAAATAATGTAAACACTGTTATGTGGGAAGGAGGTTGAATGTTAGCTGATCAAACTTAACACTGTTATGTGTGAAGGAGGTTGAATGTTAGCTGACCATACTTAACAGTGTTATGTGTGAAGGAGGTTGAATGTTAGCTAATCAAACTTAACACTTGTATGTGTAAAGGAGTTTCGAGTAGATTGTGTAGATTCTAAATATAAAGTCCGATTTGAAAGTTTCGTTATTGCAAGCTCAGACGGCAGCAAAATGTGGAAACTTTGCAAGGGGGTGTGTGAATATCTTTGCAAAGCTCTGTATTTTTGCCTGAATTTTGTCGGGTTAGCATCATCTGGTTATGTAGGTATGGAAATATTAAAACTAATGTTATCAGACTATTTTGAAAGTAATTGGTTAGCTAATCATAAATATGAAAAGCTTTCTTTATGTGGTTTCTCCTTTCCTTAGTCAACTTTATGAAAATTGTAAAAAAAACACGTAAACAGATCAATAGTGTGACCAGTGACAAAGTGATCTTACAGCTTTGTCAACCCTAAAGTTTAAATAAAAGGGGATACATAATCTTGACAGCAAAGAATAATGGCATGAAAATAAAACTTATTCAGAAGATTACAGTAAAAGTATAAATTCTTATATAACGTGCACTTGACTTATAAGATTACAGTAAAAGTATAAATTATTATATAACGTGCACTTGACTTATAAGATTACAGTAAAAGTATAAATTATTATATAACGTGCACTTGACTT